CCATAAGACTCTTCACCAAGAGAATTCAAAGCATTTTCAGTGTCTTTTATAGTAATGATTTTTTCATAATTAACACAGTGAGGATGACCACAGCGAAATCCACCCAGAAAATCCAAATTAGCCAAGACATGACTACTGAGCTGAAACTGTTATGCTCTTGATGTCTTGTGAAGGCTGACCTAGAACAGAGGCTGAACAGAGCTAAAAAATAAAGCAGGGATTTATTAAAAGGCCTCAATGGATCCACCTTGGGCAGTACAAGAGCCCAGCCAGGGCTGCACCCAAGATGAATCAAAATGATCACAAAGTAGATGACTGGTCATGGGGTCTCTCACTTTTAAAAGTTCTGGTCCATTCACATATTGGAGTTAATTGTCCAATTACAGCTTTAGGTTATGAAGTCACATCCTGCTTGTTTTTCTCTCTTCATTCCACTATTGTTTGAGCTCTTGGACCTGAGATTTGGATCATTTGTCCTTGGTGCCCAGCTGGAGAAGGAATTGTTTTGTCTCCCTATTCTGTGAAGAGAGCTCACCATCCCCTAATATGAAGCCCAGAACCACACACTAAAGCAGCACAGAATCTGAAAAATATAAAAGCTAAAACCTGAGACATAATTTCCCTCCTGGAGGCATCACTCCATGAAGGAAGGCTGCCCCGTGCCAGACAGTTGTTTACACCACACAGGGCACGTGTGTTGTGTGGAATACCTCGCTGGAACTAAGCCCTGACATCAAATACAACAGTGACATTAATGCTGTCAGTGCTGCAGCAGTGCTACAACAGCTCCCTCTCTCAGGGCACGGGTGATAGCTGAGTATGGAACTGCAGAAGGAACCATGCAGACACTTAAAGCAGTTGGTTTGACCAACAGCTGCTTGGTATTTCTGCCCAACCTGTTCTTTTGGGGTGAGGTCTGAGCAGTTTGTCCCTTCTGAAAGCTGCCTGCACCTCCTACACCCACACTCCCAGCCAGAGCTGCTCCTGGGAACAGCAGGAGGATGGAAGGTTCCCTCCTGCAGAGCCTTGAGCAGAGCTGCATTGAGCAACTGAGGAGGGACAGACCCTGTGAGCAGGGACAGCATCACATCCCCCTCCCTCCATGGGTTATTCACTGGATCTTGCTTCTGGATATGTATGGAAAGGAACTAGTTAGCTACAGTTAACATTCACCCCAAAATCCACATCCACACTCAAGATGATCCCAAAACTCTAATAAAATGGAGGTTTGTTTTTTTTTTTTTTTTTTTTTTTTTTTGACAGCCTAGAAAGAATTACATAACAAAGCCTTTCAGTACAACATAAAAATCTTCCTTCATTCAAGGCTCTCAAAACACTCTGCAAACAGTCTGACCCTTTCCAAGACTGCTGAGTAGAGGCTACTTTCCATTTTGTGAATTCCCACTTTGATAAGGAATCCACTACTGCTTGCACCTCCTTCTAGTCAGGACTAAAATGTTTATAAAGTCATATCTCCTAAAGTGAGGGAGCACAGCAGAATTAGGTTAGAAAAATGATATAAAGCAACTGCTTGGATGAACAATTCAGTGAATAGTGTTCACTAAGCAGTAAATATAATTAATACTGAAATCCTTTTCCTTTCTCAGTGTGAAAAAAATAGGCCAAGTTTTTCCATTACTGGACTCACAGGAAAAAGCAACTAGAAGCACTTTGGATGGTCATCTCCACACCACCAGATGTATGACAATTCCACAAGCAACACTGTACAGTCAACAGCTGCCCTAAGAAATCAGTGCTAACCTTTTCAAAGGGCGTAACTTGCACATTTCTCTGAGCTCTTTAAGTTCCATAAATCTGATTTCCTAGTTTATTTTTACAGCAGCTCCCATCTGAGCATCAGAAACACAAACGAAACCAGCACGACCATAACCTCAGGCAGGGAGAAAGTTCAATGACACCTTTGTCACAGAACACAAATCAATGTTCTGAAGGTCTCTAAGGAAACCTCTGCCAGAGCCAAGACAAAAACTCAGACTAGCATTTTTATCCATAACACTTTTCCCCTTGAAACATATTCCAGTCTCATCTAGACTGAATGTTTGATTCTAATTTTGAACACTACAATTCTAATTTCCCTCCCTGTGTTCTGTTTTCAACTCTTTAGTATTATTTTAACCAATTGGTTTTATATGTTTTAACAAGGCCATAAACATGGTTGGTGCTACCTAGTTTTAAATCTTGTTTTCTTCTCTCATTGCATTGTTCAATGAAAAAAAAAATCACAATTAAGTAATATCCAAAAGAAATCAATCAAATAGTAAGAAAACAGTAAGCTAAGGTTTTTTGCCTTGCTTCCTGAAAAAGTACTGCTAGCACACTTTGTATTTTGATGACAAAATAATTTCACTAGCTAAGTATTTTAAATTGCAAAGGGAACCAGATGAACTAACATACTATAAAAAAAAATTAATTATTTAATTGCTTCTTCTTTCTAACTTGCACTGTTTACAGCAGCTGCCTATTTAGCTGATTTAAGGATTCCTGTGCAGCCCATTTCAGGTTCACTGCAGATAATTCCCAGTTACACTGCAAATCCTTCTATCCTGACATATCTTGCCCTAATGTGTAATTCAAGGTATCAATGCAATCTCTTCAAGTAGTCTCATTCCCTGCATGCTGAGATACATGCAAGGCATGCTCCAAAAAGCCTGGATCTTCAAACGGAAAAGTGGGGTTTACATGGTTTTTTTAAAGAAGGACACAATCTCGGGCCTAACATTCTATTATGTATAAAATAAAACTGGGAGTCCATTCATTTGATGGCATAACAGAACTTATGATACATTCAGAAAGTCCATAAAACCTTAGGAAAAGCAGAGTCTCACAGGAAAGGAAAAAACAGTAATAAATGGGTTGTGCAAAACTGATATCTGAGAGTGTCAAGTCTTAACACCACATCTGTAAATGTCAAAGGAGGACAATATTTACCCACAGCTTTCACAGATGTCACCATTTTGAAGGAATGAATCTTGCTCACTATTCTCTGAAGCCAAAAAAGGACAGCTCACTATGAGAAAAAAAATATATAGTGGCTTAAGAGAACATCTTTACGGTATCTAAACCACAGCCTTATTTAAGTCACAATATCCGTAATTATGAGATAACCTGTCACAATTCACTCTCTGTAGATGACATACCAGGTAGAGAGCAAGATAAAGCAGAAAGTAGAGAGGGGTCTCAGTCCTGCACATTGTCCTGGATGGACACATCACAAAGTCCAGGGGACAAATGTCATCCTGAGGTTAACAGCTGCCTATGCAAACAGAGGGATTTACTCACACAGCAGAGGGGGAGGTCACTGCTCAGAGAGCACAAAGCTCTGTGAGTTATGCGGAGAAAGGGGCTGAACGTGGAGTTCATCTGTGGAGATACTCAATGCCAACACAAACCCGTGGAACCCCTCTGGCTGGACCTGCTTTTCACAGGGCTTCAACAGGGCAAGATCCTTCCAGCCTCGGATATTCTGTGATCCTTCACTATTCCATTCAAACACAATTTCTTTGATCAAAAGAGAGAAACCACGTACCCCAGTCTTAGTAAACTACTCAAAGGTAAAAAAAACCTTTGTGTCTACAGATCTCAGGGAAAGTTCAGGACTCTTTTGGACTTTGCAGGTGATCAAAAACTTGGGAAAATATCCTCAAAACCTTCATCAAGATTATGAATTAATCCTGAAGGCATATGCAGCCATACAGAATCCTTATATTCAGTATTTATGAAAAAGTAAGGGATTTTTCTGCTTGTGAGATAGACTTCTTATACCTCTGTGAACACACCATTAATTATATGTCTGGATGGTATCTCAGGGGATGCCTCAAGGCTGTTTGCTATGACTGAGGGATGCCCTCCACACCAGACACTCTGCACATCTCCACAGGTGCAGCAGCTCTGTATAACCAGGTACAGCACCAGCTCCATCTTGAAATTTCTATTTAAGAGTCCCAGAGGTTCACCAGCAAGAAATCATTGCTAAAGGGAAAAAAAAAAAAAAAAAAAACCAACAAAACCAAAAAACTTTAGTACTTGCAGAATTCTTAGAATCTGCTTAGTTCTAATTCTTGCCAGCCATCCATCAAAAATACAATAAAGCCTACTGCATCTACTTCTGTCAAGGTTTTGCAAAACAGAAAAGAGTTTTGCAGAGTTTTAAGTAGCTTTGACACTGAATCCATTCTCTGGTATTCCCCAAGTGGCTCAGTTCTGCAAATGAAAAATGGAATACACCACAAGCCAGGCTTTGATCATGTAATTCTTCATTGTTTTCTTATTATAGCTCTCTCACACAGACAGCTGGGACTGGCTGATGTGAACTCAGGAGCAGTTCTGCTGCAGCCAGGCAGTGCTGTGCAGTCTTCCCACTGCTCGGGGCACGGGGGAATCAGGGCATGGCTACTGGGGGATTCAGCCCGGGGCATGAGGGGATTCAGCCCGGGGTACGGGGGGTTCAGGACCGGGGTACAGGGGGATCAGGGCCGGGGTATGGGGGATCAGGGCTGGGGTACGGGGGGATCAGGACCGGGGTATGGGGGATCAGGGCTGGGGTACGGGGGTTCAGGGCCGGGGTACGGGGGATCAGGACCGGGGTACGGGGGATCAGGGCTGGGGTAAGGGGGATCAGGGCCGGGGTACGGGAGGTTCAGGGCCGCGGCTGGTCCAGCTCCCAGCCACCATCACCCCTGAGCTCTTCTCCCACAGCTGCCCCGACCCGGATCGATGCCGGGGCTGCGGTACAAACACGGGGCCGGGACAGGCTCTGATTTCACCACCGAGCCCCGTTCCAGAGCGCCCCGGGCTGCGAGGGGAGGGCAGCAGCAGCAGGGGCCCGGCACGGAAATCCCCACGAGCACGGCTGGCCGGGGCAGCACAGGCCCAGCGCCCCGCCGCCATCTCGGGCCGTCCCCGCCCCTCCCGCCTCCATTGCCCGGCTCCACTGCCCGGTTCCCTTGCCCGGCTCCCTTGCCCGGCCCCAGCTCCATTGCCCGGCTCCCTTGCCCGGCCCCAGCTCCATTGCCCGGCTCCCTTGCCCGGCTCCCTTGCCCGGCTCGGCACCGCCCCGGCGATCCGGCAGCGCCGCAGGTACGGGGAGATCCCGGCGGGGGGATCCCGGCGGGGCACGGCCCCACCGCCGCGCTCCCTCCTGCGGGAACAGCGTCCCTTGGGAGCCATCCCTGGGAGCGGAGGGATGCGGTTAAAGAGCAGTGAATAAGGACGAGAATGTGCGACCACGGTGCAACGCGGACTGGTTTTAATGGGTGTGTTTGCCGTGTGTTTTGTAGGTCCTTTCCAGCGCACGGTGCGGAAGGAAATAAGATGGAAGAAGGAAACGCTGCCAAGGAAAGAGTCCTCATAACTGGAGGAGGGGGTTATTTTGGCTTCCGGTTAGTGCATTAAATAGTTATTACATACAGGAATAAATGTAAGCGGTTGCTGCTGGGGAGGCAGCAAAATCCATCTGTAGAATGGAGACCTGTGGGCCTGAGATACCTGATCCAGTTGATCCCATCTTCTGGTTCATCGGGGTCTCCGTTTTAAAGAACCGCAGTTACTCTGTTTCCAGAGGCTGTAAGTAACGCTGGTGTCCCGTTTCCAAATGCCTGGCAGACATTTACCTGTGTGCGCACCTCTGTAGAGGGGTGGGATCACCATCAGCCGGCTCTGAAGGACAAGCCTACACTTGTACACACATTTTTCTTCTGAAATGCAAATAGTTACACGTGTGCTTAGCTCTATAGATTAACAACTCCAGCTGAACACTCAAGAATATATTGTTTTCATGAACAGTCATGGTTTAGGATTAGGGTTGTTAATAAGTGCACATTTCAGAGAAACCTATTTTCCCGTGCTGTAGCTGGCTCTGTAAACCATGTAAAGAAAAAAATCCTATTCTGAGCCCTAGACTATAACTGCTAACAGAGGGGAGAGAAATCACAGTCAGGACCAGAAAATAAAGTAAATTTCAAGTCAGGGGAAGGAAAGAAAAAAATCTCAGGAGATGCCTGTCTGACTTCTGCTTGGTTTTTCCCTCCATTCTCATGCCCTTAAAGCACAACAGACATAAAAAATGTAGGAAAGGAGAAGAGAAACACCAGAGTTACACTTTGTGTCAATACCTGTGACTTGGAGTAAAATGTAGACATGTGGCAAAGCATTCATAGCAGCTTACAAGCATCTGGCCCACTCCTCCATAAGTTTCTAACACAACAGCGAAAACCAACGTGTTGTTTTGCTGAAACTAGGATGGCACAAAAGCAGTAATATAAAACAAATAAAGGTTTTGGGTTTTTAAAATTATTTGGCAATAGTTGCACATCTAAAAGTTGCTGATCTGAAGGGGACAGAGCTTCAGTTATTTTTCTTCAGAACTTTCATTTACAGCAGTTCTGCTTCTTTTTTCTTTTTTTTTCCTCCAAATATTGATGGAATGTGAGAAATCTGTTCAGCACCTAAACTATCACAGCTGAATCTTCCCTGTAGTGGGGGCTGAGCATTTAAAAGGCTCCCATTAGAAAAATAATCGGCATAAAAACAGTTACTAGTCCTCTCTCCCTTCCAGGTGAGATGTTTCATGCACCATGCTGCTGTATCCTAACGTATGGTTTCTGTCATGTTTCAGTTTAGGTTGTGCCATATATCAAAAGGGAGTCGATGTGATCCTCTTTGATGTCGTGAAGCCACTTCAAACCGTGCCAGAGGGGATAAAGTTCATGCAGGGAAATATCTGTTGCCTGTCTGAAGTGGAAGAAGCTCTCAGAGATGTAATCTGCGTATTCCATATCGCTTCCTATGGAATGTCTGGCAGGGAGCAGCTGAACCGAAAACTTATAGAAGATGTTAACGTGAAAGGAACAGAAAATGTCATCCAGGCCTGCAAGAGCAGGGGAGTGTCGAGCCTGGTTTATACAAGTACCTACAACGTGATATTTGGAGGCCAGATTATAGAAAATGGGGACGAGTCTCTGCCTTATCTACCTCTGCACCTTCACCCCGATCACTACTCCCGAACGAAATCTTTAGCTGAAATGAAGGTGCTGGAGGCAAACGGTGCTGAGCTGGGAAATGGGAGAGGTGTCCTGAGGACCTGTGCTCTCCGGCCAGCAGGGATCTACGGGCCTGGGGAGCAGAGACACCTGCCGAGAATAGTCAGCTACATTGAGAGGGGACTGTTTAAATTTGTCTATGGAGACCCTCTGAGCCTGGTAGAGTTTGTACACGTGGACAACCTGGTCCAGGCTCATGTCCTTGCCTCTGAGGCACTCAGAGCCAGCAAGCAGCACATTGCTGCAGGCCAGGCCTATTTTATTTCTGATGGCAAGCCTGTAAATAACTTTGAATTTTTCCGACCACTAGTGGAAGGTTTGGGTTACAAATTCCCAACCTGGCGCCTTCCCCTCTCCCTTGTCTATTTTTTTGCATTCCTCACTGAAATAGTTCATTTTCTTGTGGGGCGCGTTTATAACTTCCAGCCCCTCCTCACTCGCACAGAGGTTTACAAAACTGGTGTCACACACTACTTCAGCATGGCGAAGGCCAGGAAGGAGCTGGGCTATGAGCCCCAGCAGTACAGCCTGGATGAAGTGGTGGAGTGGTTTAGATCCCAGGGATGTGGACCAAAGGCAAGAAATTACACCATGATGCAGCTGGTTAGGGATGGAGGACTGCTTGTGGTGCTGATTGCTGTGCTGGTCTCCTGGCTTCCATCTGCAGCGACATTTTCACTCTGAAAGATGAAATGCTGAGGACAGAATTTCATTATATTCTCTGCTTACTCTTGGTTTTGACAAGTAATAAAAGATTTTGTAAAAAATACATATTTGTGTGATTGAGGTAAATAACAGTTTTATCCCCAAGGAATGGAACTGCTGAGTAAAAAGGTGCAATTTTTTATATATTCATTCTCTTCAAAGTAAAATTGATCACATCACTAACAAGATGAAGCTCAGAATTACTGCAAACAGCATTTTGTTCTCAGGTACAACAGCACAATACAGTGAATAGAACAAATGTCCTTGGGCTAACTCTTCCTCTCTGATGGGATTATACTCCTGATCCCTGCCCTTTATTCCTTAATAGTTTATGTTACATGATCCAGAGGAGAATAAACTTATTCTTTGATCATGTTCCAAACCCCAGTTTGGATGTATATATGCCTAACCAAGATTAACTGATAAACTTCTAGGCAATACATAAATGAGATTTTTACATGAATACATTCTAGTATGCTTTCCTGAGTTAACTCTGATATCTAATGACATTTCTGGAAAATGCACCATGCTTAATCTAAATTACAGCAAAATGCTTGAAGCACCACAGATTTGTAGATTTTTCTAACAGTAAAATATGCCTGTTTAAAATGAATGAGCCAGCTGAAGTGCATTCATAAATAAAACCTATGATTCTTCCCAGCATTATTTAATGGTTAAACAAATAATTCATCAAAGACATTTGGTGAGTGATTGCATTCACGTTCCACTATTTATAAAACACTTTTAGCTTCAATAATATTTCTTTAACACCTGACACCATCTGAATAGAATTTCAGCTTTGTGATAGAAAGATAAACACTTGCTACAAGGAAACTCATAATTTTGTGGAATTTTAAGATTAGAAGATAAGATTAAAATACAGGTCACTGCTGTCCCATGCAATTCCTCCTGTCAATTTAATACAGAAACTGAGAAACTTCACCTCAAATGTTAAACACAAAGTTGTTTTCCCTTAACTCATCAGCATTGCAGCTTCTGTACCCTTGATGAAAGCAGACTCCTTCAAGAATTTAAAACTTCTCTTTAAACTTTAGTCTTTCCATTTGAATGGCTGAAGCTACACTGATCTTAAATTAAAACTCCCAGAAGTATCTGGGAGTTTTAATTTAAGATTCTGTTCTGTTCAACTCTGCTGCAACTGAAATGGGGAAGTAAAGAGTAAGAAGCAGAGCAGTTCCATTACACTGCTAAAGGGTTCTCAGAAAAGAGGGCCTAAATAGAGGAACTAAGCTAGAAATCCACAGCCCTGCTTAGAAGATGCAGATTTTAACGGCTCATGGTGACTGAAGACAGCATTATTTTTTGCCTGTTGAGCTCTCTTCCTGATAAGTTTACCTTAAAAAAAAAAAAAAGCAACCCACTATTGATAACTTTTTGTATTTTTATGCTTCAAATCTGACTGTTCTCCCTCATTCCCCTACCAGTAAGTACACCATGAAAGAAATTAAATTTAATACTTAGCTTGAGGGACAGCTCAAGAGAGAAGTCACTTTTTTTTCCCTCTCTAATAGCAAATAAGCTCTTTCTGTAGCAGGAGTGTTGCACTCTCTTATAAAGAGCTTATGTGTCTCCAACTGAGCGCTGATGGCACGAGGGACACTCTCCAGGAGTCATTAATATACAACATCATCTGCAGAAAGACGAAATCTTCTTTTTAATAAAACAGAAAAAAGACATCCATGACCTCATGAAAGCACTGGACCAATGCCCTTTCCAACAGCTCTGTTATTTCAAGTGGAAACCACTTTGTTCTTTTCCCCTTTAAGTTCTCTGGCTTTGACACTATGTTATCAGAAAGAGATTACAAAATTCTAATGCCAGCAGAAGACAAAACCAAAACGTAGAAGAAATTGCACAACCCTGTTGCACAGAAGCAGCATCCGTATTTCATGCCAAGTCTTGTAAAAAAAAAATTGCGTTTAACATAGGGAATTGAACTCCTGTGCCCCAGAGGAAATTTCTCTGCTATTTGTAATCTTTTAGCAAAACTCAGCTACTGCTATTTATAATTATCTCAGTGATGGGTTTAGTGAAAATCATCTATGGAAGGGTCCTTAAGCCATGAATCCTAAATCCACGTTGTCCAATACCAGCTGAGGTTCAGGCCCTGGTCAGCTTTTGAAGTACAGGAGCAGCAGCAGCTCCTGACAAGACAAAAATAGCCCAACAAAACCCCAGATCCCAGAAGTCCTGCAGGAGCTGAGCTCAACACACGAAGCTTTTCATCCGCCTGGAGTCAAGGACAGAACTCTCTGATAACAGAGCACGAGGCACTGTTTGTCCTAATGGCCCCAGAGTGGGCTCCAGCACAGGGATTCATGTGGGGACACACCCCAGAGCCATCATCAGTGCACAGGGGGTTCATTAATTCCCCATCAATTAGCTCCATCTATTAAAAAAACCAAAGTCCTGACCACAGCAGAGGTGAAGGATACACTTACTCTTTCCTGAAAACGGGCAGTCTGTGGCTTAAAGAGATACTCTAAAAGTGCTCGAAAACTCCAGCCCTGTAAAGACAGTGACAGCTGCTCTATTTGAAGTATTTTGCAAAGAGAATTCTCTCTCATTTTTCCTGTTTTTTTGTCATTACTCCTTGTGCATGAATAGCTGGGTAAATTAGGGCATTTAATTCAAGTGTTGTGTCTCTTTTCAAATTTTCATCTTACCTGTTTTCCTGAAACTGAATTACTAAAAATGCACCTAAAAACTGGAAGAGCAAAATGAAAATATAGCTCAGATTCAATTTTTCCTAGTCCTCAAAATTACTGAACTGATAGGTGCCTCATTATGAAGAATGATGCTGATGCTTATAGTGAATAGTTTTAGAATACTTGGTCAGCTACTTAACCTCAGATACAGCATTTCGAAGTACAAATTTGCAAAATATATATGAAAACATATACTCTCATGTGTATTTAACTGTGTTTATTTTAGATGCTTAATCAAACCAGATTCTTCTCAGCCCTTCTCCTAAGGGGACCCGACCAAAATGTCCCTTTGTTTCTATTTATCTATCCACATACTTTCCAAATTATAGTGGCATATGTAATAATTTACTATGTGCTCTTCAGAGAAAAGTTCCTGAAGGCTGATAATTTACATATATTTTAAAGAATCTGGGGATTAAACTGTAATTCAGGAATACACAAGTGTTGGGGGAACTACTGCTTTACTTTAGTCAAGCTCACAATTCTCTGTTTTGCTGGCAAAACAGCTAAATATGTAGACTAGCAATGAATTAAACTGCTTTTAATTTAATTTAAATTATTTTAAAACTAATAGCTGGGCATGTTTATAAATACTGTTATGGATCAGAAGATAAATTCATCTCTGAACTGATTCTGCAGGCTAATTTTCATTATATTTAACTTCCATTTCTCATTATATAAAGGGAATTCCCGTCTGGAACAAAGCCAGCTAGTTGGACTGCAGTTAAACATGCTGACACATCACTGTAGCAGAACTCAACCACTGCAATTCAGCTTCCACACCACATTCAGATTTTTCCAACTGGTTTGGAGAATTCAAAGATAATGGCTGGTACACAGCTCACACCTCACCATCCCCAAGGTTTAAGAGCTACAAAACACAATGCTTTCAACAGAGAAATATATAAGTATGTTGGACTGGAAAACAAGTGGCAATACAGGTAATAAAATACCTTAATGTAGTAATGTTTTTGATTCCAGAACTCATGCATACCAAAACTCCCTAAGTTTGGCTGGTTTAATGACATTCTAGAAGAATTAGGCTGCAGATACCTCATACAGATTCATGTTCAATAAGCATGCAATTTTGATCAAAAGATGAGAAAAAATCTGTTCCCAAGACTCCCAGCAATTAAAAAAATCACCACATAAAGACAGAGTGCATCCACTCAGCAGCAGTTCTCCCTGTGCATCCTCACAGGCAGAAAGTGTTCTGATAAATTTTTTTTGTAAACATCAATATCATTGTCCTTCCAATTAAGACATATTTAATCTTTGCCTTGCTCAGATTTTATTGTTCAAGCTCATAAAAATCTGGCTCTCACTAGAGCTGGAGTTTGTATCTGCCTCTCACTGAAAAAGGCTGGTTTGGAGTCACAAGTTAAACTCGATCTTTGACCTTTTCTTTCTGCCTCGTGTGTTTGGAGCCAGAGGAAGTGCCATGATAACCATACCTACTGAAACAATCTTTGAGTCAGTTCATCTTAAAACCACAGAAATGCCCTTCCTCCAACCTCTAGCAGAGCACACCATACCACACCAGCAGATCACTCTTCAGTAAGAACTCACTGCTTCAAATGACCAGGAAAAGTAATGAAATTCAACGAGAAATGCTTAAACAAAGAAGCACCTGACATCACTCACATCTATGTGATATATCAACAATTATTTATTAAAATAAGTTATTTCAATGATTTAAAACAGTTTCTATAAGAATATAACAATTAAACAATTGTTAACTTCAAAATTTTATAAATGCTTTCTCTCCTGGATTAAAAAAAATTAGCACACACATTCAATTCTACTTTCATACTCAAACAGTTGCAACTGTGATAAAGTTGCTACAGAGTCTGCCCCCAGGAAGAACTGAGAGGTGAGGTCTTGGACATAAAACACAGAATGCAAGAACCAAGAGAAGAGTTAGAACACAGCCTTGCCCACCACTTGCAAGTCAGCAGAAGAGTCACTGCAGTATTTTCATTCTGCACACAGTGTAACATCATACTCTGGGGAAAAGTTTTGCTGTAAAACAAAATGCATTTCCATAAATACTGATGGAGTGCCTCTTATGACCCCTGACATTATGCATGAGTGGAGAATGTGCACAGCACTTTTCAATGGACTACAAAATGAGCTAATTCTTAAATACTTGCACAAGAGCAGCATGAGGGACTCACTTCTGTTTCCATCACACAGTGGCTGTGCTGTGTAGGGAATACACACACCAGTGGAGGAAGCCAGGACAAATGGACAGATTGGTTGGGTCTGCTCTAGAACTGAGCTTAAGAAGAATTCTGACAGGCAGAACAATCCACACCTGGATAATGAAGAGAAA